CTAAAGTTAAATTTATGTTCTTCTAAAGCAAAGCGCAACCAAGAGGTTGTGAGTTCGAGTCACCTCAAGAGTAAGGTGGGGAGTTCTTGGAGGGAGGGAGCCGAGGATCTATCGGAAGCAGCCTCTCTACTCCAGGGTAGGGGTAAGGTCTGCGTACACACTACCCTCCCCAGACCCCACTAATGGGATTATACTGGGTTGTTGTTGTTGTTGTTGTAAAGCAAAGCGCAGTGTTGAGATTTAGTAAACAAGCCCAGTGAAACCCAACACTAGAACAGAAGTAGTATGGCTGCATGCTAAATAAGAGGCACCTGTTCAAACACACTTACTTTTGATAGCAATAACCATGTAAATTAGCTTAGCTGATATCTCAGGTTCCAACAATTTCATTGACATGATATGTTTTGGTTCATACTTTTTTGGCAAGCATTTGTTGCCCCAGTATGCTTACTATATAGATTCTAACTAGTGACTCTGCATAAAATATACTGTAATGTGTATCAAAATCCTTATCTTTCAGAACTTTAGAAGTTCACTGCCTCTTTTTCTTTACAGATGGATACATTTGGGAGGGACCATGGAGATGATGAATATTCTATCATTGGAGACAAGCAGGAGTTTAGTTTTATTGATTTTGAGGATGATGACTCTGTTTGCAACTATCAGTCAAATGAAGATGGACCGGTTATTATCTCAAACCCATTTCCTTTCGTACGAGGAAAGCCTCAATCGGTTTTTGTTGGAGAAACATTTTCATACCCTATTACTTTGGAGAATACAACAAGAGAGTCAGTGCCACTTTGGGGTGTGAAGATTTTCTGTTCAAACCCTGCTGACTCTTTCACTTTATCATCATTTAAACCCCCTTCAGTTGATTCAGATGCAGATTATTCAAAGGTTTTCAGAGGGATTTTCCCTTGATGATAGAACACCCCAGCCACAGCGGACTCTGACTATTTGGTTAACTTGCAAACCTAAGGAAATTGGTTTGCACACGTCTATTCTGGAACTTGATGTTGGAGATGATAGGATTGAACGCGTGGTTTTTCTATTGGCTGAGGATAAAGTTTCTCAGTCGTTGTCTACCAGGAAACCATATTCAAGGATCCCACGACGCGGACAAGCTGCCCATGAGTTCTCTGTGGCTGCTGCACATAATGTTAAAGTGATGAGTAAAGGGTTCAACTTTATGCTCCCTCAGTTTGAAATCCCTGAGGAAGTTAGAAACTTATTGACAAACAAGAAAATTCCTGAAATTGTTCGAGAAGGTTTGAAGAGGGAGAAATATGCCGATTACTTCAGCACTCTACTTATCATGGAAGAACTACATTTGGAGGTAAAATTAGTCCCTATCTGCAGTATGCGTGGAAGTAAATTGTGGTCCTTGATTATTTAGGTTGTGGTTCATAATTTATCTGTATTGTGGTTTATATGAATGGTATGTTGTTTTATTTCAGAAGGAAATGAGAAACTATGATACATTGAATGCCAAAATAAAAACCAGAAGGAATCGCTTATTGGCTCTTGAACTCCCAGGCCTGGCTCCCTTGTGCATGGAGATTTTGTGTTTGCCAGACTTACCTTTGAAGAACCAAATCACTCAACTCCTACACATCAGGTTAACCTTTATATTTTCATTTTAAGGGGAAAATGAGTTACTTTACTGGAAGAACCACTTTAAATAAATTATTTTTGCTGTTTCGTCTTCACAGAGGCGGATCCAGGATTTGAAATTTATGGGTTCCTGTCGCAATCTAGATCAAATTAATAACCATAATAACTGGGTTCACAGTTAGATATTTATAGATATTTAGTAAATTTTTTAATAAAAATACAGTGTCTACGCAAAAGTTACTGGATTCCCAGGAACCCATATACTATACTCTAGATACGCCCCTGCGTCTTCAAGACTAAATTAATGAACTCAAATTGGATCTAGAGTTGACAATTGTAGCTAATATACTCAAGGGAACCACAGATTATTACCTGTCTTTTTCTAAAGAAAGCATGTAAAGTTTCTGATTTAGTGTCTTAAATTAGTAACACAAGGATTGTCAGAGCATAACAACAAGTTACATCTTTGCTCGGATATAGTTCTTAATATAAATATCATCCTCTTCTGCAAATATCTTCCTGAGCACAGAGTAATAATGCAATGATCAGAGGAGTAGGCATCTTGCTTTAACCTCCCAGAGTATGCCAAATATGAACCACAAAAATTGACTATACAAATAGAGATAGACAGGCCTAGTCTGCTTTACTTTCTGGCCAAATTTGTTTTGAGGTCAAAAGTTATTTAATTGTTATGTTTCACACTCCATGTTCTATGTATTTTGGTTCTTTGACTTGCAATTTGGAGGAAAGCAGTTAAAAGATTATTTTTATTTATACTCACATGGCATGTTACCTTTCTTGCCTCTCAGCATTGGTGAAATGACTTTGCAAATAAATCTTATCTTTTAGGCCTTTCTCCAACCTTCATTCGAACAGTTGGGTTTTGAATTTTTTGTATCTTTGTCCTTCTGAATCTAACATAACACCAAGTAAAACAGTAAGTTCGAAGCAGGATAATCATGTAATATTAGCATACTGTAGCAGACAATCCACTAAAAATACCTTGTAAGTGTCTAACAACAAGTGATAATTTCCAGGGTTACATATACTGTATCGAGCCAGATGAAGTTCTCTTGAAATTTTGTGAGGACTTTCATATGCAACATCATCCCCGGAACTTGTATGACATTCAATTTTCATGCAACAGAGTTAACATGAGGAGACTATACCAAACTGTCCAAGCAGCTGAAGGTCTAGACCTGAATATTCTCTTTCCTTCAGAAATAATAGACCGGTCGAATAAAGGAACTCCCTTAGTTCCATTTGCATCTCTCAATCAGAAGCAGCTGCTATCTGTTGAAATGATTCTTGGTTGTAAGGGTGCACCTCCTTATGTGATCCATGGGCCTCCAGGTACGGGTAAGACGATGACAGTAGTGGAAGCAATCTTACAACTTTACACTAGAAGGAAAAATGCGTGCATTCTCGTCTGTGCAGCTTCCAACAGTGCAGCAGATCACATACTATAGAAAATTGTTAGCGATGAAACTGCTGAAGTGAAAGATAATGAAGTTTTCAGGCTAAATGCTTCTAGTCGTCAATATGAAGATATTAAGCACGATTTTCTCCGCTTTTGCTATTTTGAGAACTCCATTTTTAGGTGTCCTCCACTCAAGGCATTGTTGTGTTATAGGGTCATTATCTCTACCTATATGAGTTCATCTTTACTTTTTGCAGAAGAGATTAAACCTGGCCACTTCTCCCATATTTTCTTGGATGAAGCTGGCCAAGCATCAGAACCAGAAACAATGGTCCCTATAGCTAATCTTTGTCGTCAGGACACAGTAGTCGTACTTGCTGGAGATCCTAAGCAATTAGGTCCAGTTGTATACTCTGAAGATGCAACGACATTTGGGCTAGGAATATCGTATTTGGAGAGACTAATGAAATGTGATTTCATCACGAAGCTTGTTAAGAACTATCGATGTCACCCCACTATTCTAGACCTCCCCTCCAGGCTCTTTTATAGTGGAGAACTGATTGCATCTAAAGAGGATACATCCTCTCATAAGGCTTTGCTCCAACTTCTTCCACATGAAGATTTTCGGATACTCTTTGTTGGCATTCAAGGATGCGACGAGAGAGAAGGTAATAACCCGTCCTGGTTTAACAGAATAGAGGCAACCAAGGTAGTTGATATTATTAAAAAGGTCAGAGCAAGTGAAGATGTTAAAGAGACTGATATAGGTATTATAGCACCTTATCGACAGCAAGTACTAAAGATATCTAAGGTCCTTGAAACATTAGAGATATTTGATGTTAAAGTTGGAAGTGTTAAGCAGTTTCAGGGACAAGAAAGAGAAGTTATTATTGTGTCTACTGTCCGATCCACAGTCAAGCACAATGAGTTTGACAGAACTTACTCCATTGATTTCCTCAGTAATCCCAGGAGGTTCAATGTTGCAATTACAAGGGCCAAATCATTGCTCATTATTGTTGGCAATCCACACATAATCTGTAAGGTATGTTCTTTAACATCCCAATCCAAAAAGGAAAATCAACTAAAGAAACAAAAGAGAAAGGATGATTGCTGCATCCTTGAGTATTATTTTCTATGGCAATTTGGAAGTTAGACATTTTAGGGATCTTGCAATGATATCTCTGCTTATGATTTGATCCAAGAAGTGGAAAGTTCTAATCTTAAAAGTATTGCTTGTTTACTGTTGCAGGACATTTACTGGCAGAAGCTTTTATGGTACTGTGTGGATAACAATTCCTATCAAGGATGTCCTCTTCCTAGAAGATTGTCTGAAGATGTTGAGGAGCCAACATCTAAAGGATAAATCTAAACCTAATCAAAGCGGTGGTTGTTGGTGATATAAAACACAAGATCTAGTGGAGGGTGAATTGGCTGCTCGTTAATATTTCAAAAACTTTTCAAAACTTCAGTCGACTATATAAACCTATCAATAGACTAATTGCTAGATTTCTGCAAATATGTGACTTTTCTGAAATGCTCAACTTTTGAAGTGCAAGTATCTGGTGATGTTGCAAATAAGAGATTCTACTTTTTAACTACTAAGCGAGAAAAGATAAAAGATACATGCAAGAATCAAAAAATTGAGACACCAAGATTTATACTCTTTCAGACTTAGACGCGGACCTACGCTTCAAGAAGAGGGGTCACCTGACCCAGTTAACTTCCGCAATTTTTTTTGTATTTAAGTTTATATATGTTAAAAATAATCATATATTTTGCTTGGAAGCCTTAAGATCAAAAGTCTTAAGTCCCATTGGGTAGTTTGCTTGTGTGCCCCACCACCTTCAAAACCTAAGTCTGGGCATGCTTTCGGTCAATGTGATCTACGTCCAATTATTTATATCACATGCTGCCAAGAAAGTAGCCTTTTTTGACTTATCTTATCCTCTTTGTCATGCTCCCAAAAACTATGTCCTTACGTTTTTAACAATACTAAATAACTCTTTTGTTATATAATGCCAAGTTTTTCAGATAACAACAATCTGGTAGAAATTAGCAGCAGCTCCAGTATATATGGAATCATCAAGAATCACTCTCCGTCCATATAGATCAACAGATGTTGAAGATCTACTATTATGGGGAGGTGATGATCGAGTAACTCGATCCATCCATTTCAATACTTTGGCTTCCAAAGAAGATGCATTGACCTTCATTGAAAAATCTACCATTCCTTGGCGTCGATCCATATGCATCGATGACCGTTCGATTGGAATCGTGGTGGCGCGCCCTGGATCTGATGATGACAGATGTCGAGCTGAGATAGGATATGCTTTGGCAGTTGACTACTGGGGACAAGGGATCACTCCTAAGGCTGTGAAAATGGCAATCCCTCTGATTTTCAGTGACTTTCCTGAAATAGTAAGGTTACAAGCATTGTCTGATGCTAACAATAAAGCATCCCATAGGGTGTTGGAGAAGGCTGGATTTGTTAAGGAGGGCATGTTCAGAAAATATTTTTACTTCAAAGGGGAAATTAAGGATGTTGTACTTTACAGTTTACTTTCCACTGATTCTGTACCTTCATTAGATCCATAAAATTTCAAGATCTGTGCTTTCAACATCATCTTCTTGAACCCCTTTCTTTTGTTCTCTTCATGAACAAGTCTGTTGTACTTATTTCTTATGTTTTTTTTTTTAATACAATACTTTGAATAGTATAATAGTGACAATGAAAAATATAAGATGAAAAAACCCTATCCAAAGTTATCTGTGATTATCTTGAAATGCAATTATTGTGTTGATGTGCTATTAATGTGATCTTCACCTGTTGCATTGATTTATAGTTTTTTTTTTTTTTTTTCTGAGAAACTGAAAATTTTATTT